CGAAGTAGGGGTCATAGTTGTTGTAGTTCTGAAGGGTCAAGGTCGTAGCTGTTACAGTCCTGAAAGGCCAAGTCCGCAAACTTCCGGAAGGTCCGGAAGTGGCCTTTCAAGTTTCTTCTCACGTTATACACAGCAGACCAGAGGCAAGTGGGCAAGTGGTGAGTCCAACTTCGCTTAGTCAGTGGTACCCAGTCCCAGTCTCACTTTGTACAGTCAGCAAGTACCATGAGGGACTGTGTGCACCATGGGCCCGGTGGAAAAGGGCAGACCAACGACTTACAGAAGTATAAATCAAGACGCAGCGTCCAGCCATTCATTCATTCCTGCGTGAGCCATGCGGAAGTGTTGCCAGGCGTCTTGTGCGAGGTGTTCTTCAGATGCCCGAGGTCGAAGTGGGCAGAAGAGAGATAGTGTCCATAGCCAGTAGGGATTAGGCGGCCATAGCCGCTGTAGTTTAGAGGTGGAGTTCAGTGTGTGTGTGTATGGTACTGAGTGAGTGTGCGTGGGATATTCAGGGAGATCCGGAGTCGAATGCGTGTAAATAGTTGGGTGAACACAGTGTTGGACAGAGAATGTGTGAGCGCTCAGGCGCCATCGCCAGCTGGATGCGAGTTTGTATCTGAACTGTGTTCGAGGCTTGATTATCTCTGAGCTTTGTGTGGGAGCACAGCGCCAGTGTGAAATTGCCATCTGTTTACATGTATGCGAAGTGAAGAAGATCGTGAATCTGATTGCATTGGTATCGGAGCTGGTTCCCGTTATCCCACGCGCCATCGTTGTCTGGGTGCCATAGCTGTAGCCGCGCCATCGAAGGAGGAAGAAAGAGTCCGCCATAGCTGCGCTGCGGAAGGAGGCACCGCGTACCTGCAAACAAGACAATGACACAAGAGAGAGAGAGAGAGAGAGAGAGAGAGAGAGAGAGAGAGAGAGAGAGAGAGAGAGAAGATTGGTTGTGCGGTTCAAGACAGGAGGTGGAGGCCATAACCGCCGAAGCTCAGACACAGGGCCACCAAGGAGAACGAAGGCGAAGTAGAGGAGAAGGGAGAGACGAAGGAGAAAGAAGCCATAGCCGAGGAAGGAGAAGGGAGAGACGAAGAAGGGAAAAGAAAACATAGCCGGGGTGAAGGAAGAAGAAAGTGAGAACGAAGGAAGGAGGGAGAAGGCGAAGTGAAGGTTGAAGGGAGTAAAGTGTCGGCAGCCATAGCCGAGTTAGACGTTGACCGAGGCGTTGACCAGAGAGTTGACCGGCGTTGACCGGGGTGTTGACTGAGGCATTGACCAGCATTGACCAAGGTGTTGACCGGGCAAATGACCAGTGTTGACCAAGGCGTTGACCGGAGCAGTTGACCACAAAATTGACCAAGCTCGAGTTGGTATATTCTCGCCAAGCCTTCAGCCTATCCCCTCGCCCTATGGATGTGCACTCACCCCATGGTACTTGCTGAGTCTGTGTGTCTCTTCTTTCTGCATTGAGTCTCTTCTGTCCAGGTGATAGGAACTCTGTGTATGAGGTCGTAGAGCTTTGCTGACCAAACCCACACAGGCTGAGTAAGGCTAAAGGCCGTGTCTGACGACTGACTAACCCAGAGGACAAACCCTCCCAAGGACCGGTACAGACCGGCGGGCTGCTCAATGTGGCATGGTAGGCCCAAAATCCGAGTTGTGGGTTGCACAACAAGCTGTCTAAGTCTTGAGAGGACTTGCTGATCGCGTCGTCCTGTCTGCGACGTTAAATAATTCCTGAGGAGTTACGGGGGATCTCCTTAAATGCCTCCTGATCAGCATTGAGTCCTGTAGTGACAGCTGTAGAAATAGTTGACAGGGTCCTATACGGATCTTGTAGTCCTTAGACAGTCGGTCAGTCCAGTGGGTAGGTCTAAGTGGTGAGGAGTGGGACAGTCGTTGTCGTGCACCGAACACCATGGATGACTACCCTATGTACGGTCTGCTCGTGGGGTTCTCCCTCTGGGGGACCTTCTGGTGTCTCCTCTTTCCATTGGGGATTTGGAACACCTTCACGTGTAGAGTAGAAACCAGGGGTGGTGTTAACACCACTCCCTACACGAAGGAGCCGGAGGAGGAGGCTGCGAGGATCTTGGCCGAGCAGAAGGCTAGGAAGGAGAAGGAGGAGGTCGTAAAGCAGGCCAAGAAGTTGGCCTTATTGCAGGAGCAGGCCGCAAAAAGAAAGAAGTTGGAGGAACTAGAAAGGGTGAAAAAGGAGGAGGAAGAAAAACAGAAAGCAGTCGAGGCAGAAGAAGAGGAAGAAGAAAAAAAAGGAGAGGAGGAAGTTCCCCTGATCAGAAAGAGTTTCGGGGACAGAGGGGAGTCCAGTGGCACGAAGAAGGAGGGGGACCTGTGGTTGGAAACGAAGGTGCCTGAGTGGGTCGCCAATCTATCCTTGGGAGAAGAGGAGGAGGCGATCTTATATGTCCCAGGGAAGAACAGGAGGCGATTATAAGAGAGTTGGGAAGACCCCTTAAAACGTCAAACTATAGAAGAAGAGAAGAAGTTGGAGTGGAAGTTGCGTTTGACAAGGGAAAAGAAAAAACGGATGGAAGAGGCCAAGACGGCGAGAGAGTTGGAGGCTATAAAGGAGCAAAGGGCGCAGATGGAGGCGCAAGCGGATATACAGGGGAAGATGGAGGTGATGTCAAGGAATATCGAACTCCTGGCTAAAGCTTGGGACGAGCCGTATCAGTTCGCCAGAAGCCAGGATGTAACGCTGCGCTCCATACGCTTAGGTTTTAGGGAGTTTGCACATGAAATGATGATGCACGTGGGCACAAAAGTTAAGGCAAGGATGGAGAGCACAAAGCGATTTTGTACAGGGGCAATAGAGGGTGCTAAGTTAGTAACTCCAAGGGAGGAGGAAGCACGTCCCCGTAGGAACCCAATCAAGGTCAAGTTCCCTGATCCCTGTAGCGGGAAAAAGGGAGAAAACTTTGAAACTGGGAGCCGAACATCAATTTGTATGTTCACCTTCAAAAGATTGTGCCCGAGGAGCAAGTCTTAATTGTTTTTCATACCCTTAGGGACGAGGCACCAAGCTTCGCCCGCTCGCTTGCCCGCGCTGTTGATTGCGAGAATAACATGGTAGTTTACTTTGCGCAAACCTCCTTGGGCCCATTCCTTAAGATGTTGCGCGAGAGATTTGTCGATGTCACTAGAGGGACTAGGGCCTCAGATAAGCTTCAGACTATCCACTCGCAACAGTGGAAGAGTGTCAAGGTACTCAAAAGTAATGGATGAGTTGGTAGTTGTCCCTGACCATGGGGTCACTGAGACCCAACTGGTCAACCTATTTTATCGCGCCATGCCCGAGCAGTTGCGTGGGCACTTCTTTGAGAAGAGCCAGGAGTCTACCATGACCTATGATACTCTGAGTAGGGAAGTGGTAACATTTGAAGCGCGGTCCATGCCAGTTTCCACTTTCTAGCATAAGGACCTTGACAAGGGCAAAAAGTGGAAGGGTCGTACCATTTCTGGCCAAGGGAAGGCCAAGGATCATTTGATCCTGACTCTAGATGAGGGTGGTATGGAAGAGGTCCCATATGACCAAATAGAATGGGGCCTGGAGGATGAGGGCAGTAGCGATAGTCAGGGGAGGACTTACGCTGCTGTTGCAGTTGGAGGGAGGCCGCAAGGTAGAGGAGGAGGCCGGGGCCAAGGAGGTCAGGCTTTCGGTGGTCGAGGACAGGACGATCAGGGGGTTGGTGGCAGAGAAGGCTGCCAAGCGGGAGGTAGGGGTCAAGGTCCCCCGCAAAACCGCTCTAGTTTCAATCAGTCACCTAGAAGGGGTGGATGGCATCCTGGTCTGCCGCAAGGCAGGCCTTGGGAGGATCTGGGCTTAGAGCAAACAGTTTGGCAGCAGAGGATAAACCAGGATCAATGCATTTATTGCGGTGATTCTGGACACATCATAAAATACTGCCCTAGATATAGAGCAGCCCGATTCGCTACACAGGCAGCAAAAGGCAACCGCCGGTAGGGGTTGCAACGGCCCCTATCCCTAGACCATGTGGAGAAGAGTGCGCGCACCACACAGGAACTCCCAAACCACATGTGTCTATGGCAGAGGTTGCTGGCCAGTGCCTAGATAGCTGTCCAGAGACTGCTTGTGTTAGGGTCTCTCTAGGCACCTTCCTCATAGGCGTGGCAGAAGAGTTGAAGGGGAGAATGCCTGCCTGGGCCAAGATGATGAAAGATACGAAAGGACAGCTAGTGGCGGAGGTCAAGGCAGATCTACTAGAACTAGCTGTCCTTTCGTATCTTCCTTTCATTCGTTTCAGGCCCGTTTATGTTTTTTTTGGGGGTCCGGACATGCTCTCTCTCTATAGTAATTTATTAGACAACCCCAATTTTTTTATTATTAATAATTCATTAGAATCATTACCTTTTATTAGTTTTTACAGTCTTTTTTTAAGCTTTTTATAGTTTTTGACTTTTAACTCAAGTTTGGTTAGGAATTCTGACATGACTCTGAGGCAAAAGTGGTTTGCACTGTTATTCTGCATAACATACTTTTTTTTCAGATTTTTTTATTTTTATTTTTTTTTAATGGTCTGGACACCAAACCAGAAACAAAAACTAAAAGGACTCAAGAATTTCTTTGTTTAAACTTTAGACCTTTTTTTTTTTTTTTTGGATTCCTGGAACCCTGGACAAGAAGACGAGAACAGGCGACTTAGACTGACTTCCCTGCTGATTGCCCAAACAGACGCATTCATTATTGGGTACTCGGAGGTTTCAGCATATAGCCAGATTTCCCTTTAACATTTACTGTGTAAGCAGTACTAAGCACCCATCCGGTACATTAAGAAACTCCAGTTTTTATTTCTTTAAAGTTTGAACACGCAAGGGACATCCAGTTAGGCCCGTGAGGTTCTGCTTCAAATTTTAACAAATTGGAAAAAAAAAAGGGTTCAAACTTCAAATGCAAGGCAACATACAGGCCTGGTTTTCTACTTGCCAGGGTTCGGCTCTGCTCTCATAGCACTCACAGAGTTCAGTGATGATACTGTCCACCAGTCTCAGTTTTTCACTCAATGGCATGGAACTTGGGAGTCGGAGCTTGGCAGCAACAATGAGAGTTTCTCGAACGCTCAGTGTGTGATACAGGACATCATCTTGCATCACCTGCAACAAAAGCAGATGGCTGATGCCTGAGCAAAAGAGGCAAATTTTGCAAATAAAACAATAGGAGCTGAAACAATGTAGCAACCAAAACCCTACACTTGGAGCATACTTATCATGACAATCACATACATGAAGTGTGAGCACCACTGCGGTCCAGGTGTACATGCTTCACAATCCCCTCTTCCCCTTTCCCAATCCATTCTGAGCCCAAGCTTGACGCACACTGCACCTTCCTTACTCCTGCAAACCTGCACCCCCACCCCATCAGATTGCTTGCCCTCCTCTTCAACATGTGTGCAAAGCACCTGGCAGGCCCATCAATGTGCATGCAAAGCCTGTGAAGCATTTTGTGAATCCCATCAGTAGTGCTCTTCCCCCCAAACATGTATGTGAAGCATCTCGTGACGCCCATCCGCACTGTCATCCCGTGTGAAGCATCTTGTTACCCGCATTGACATGTTGCCCCCAGCCCCCCCCCMCCCGCCACCCCGCCCCAATATGTCTGCGGGGCATTCTGTGACATCCTTCAATATTTCAAAATGTGGTACCACAAAAACGAAGATTGAAACAGTCCCTTGAAATCTGAATAAACTTCACCTTAAAGCATTAAGCAAACCAGATCATTGTTCCATTTTCCACCCCATGTGCATGTGAGGCACCCTGCGACCACTATTAACACCACCCTTCTGTCCTTCTTTCCCTTCCTTCTCTACTCTCCTTCTGAATTTCGACTTCTCAATTTATGCATGTCATCCTCTCACAGGGGCGATGCTAATCTTCTCAGAATTTTTCCAATCTTAAACCACCAGATGGTCCAGATGGCCTTCCAAGATACCCACGGGTATACGACAATATTAATTGACGCTAATTTGTCTGAACCTAAGTGGAAACGGATATCCTAGAACAAGAAGTTCGCATCCAGAGGACAATCAAACAAGCAGTGTTAGAAACTTTGATGATACAGCGAAAGAAATGTATCCCAAGATACCACTAACCCTCCTCTAGGAAAAATGCCATTGACAACGTCTACCCGCCCACACTCAGCCCCCCACCCCTCCACACACTTTGACCACCCCCTCCCCACCCACCCCACCTTCGAAACTTTCGACACAAATTCCTGCCTACCAATGCCTCCCGCGCCCGTCCTTTAAGTGAAGGGGAGGGCAAAGCAAGGGAAAAATGCTGACAATCACTCTCCATCATTTCTACTCCCCCCACTTTCTTTCCCTCATCCAACCCTCCCCCCACCTTCTCCCTCAACCGTAAACCAACCGCCCCAACCTCCCCCCATCCTGGGGCAAGAGATCCTGCGTCCCTCCCTCCATTAGTGAGGACAACAAGGAGAGAAGAGGGATGACCATACGGCTTTTCTCCTTCCTGGCAATGAAGCCCACCCTTCGTCAATTGGTCCGTCGGACTTCAGAGGAAATTGTCTGTGACAACAGATGCAGCTGGATAACTGAGCTTATAACAAAAGGAGAGCTAATTGCACATACTCGCAGTCACCACACTTGTCCTTCTCTGACTGCTCCTGATCCCAATCATGGCCAGATTCAGTCAACGAAGTCCTGGTGCGAGTGTGCTCAAAGTCCCATAACACAAGATAAATCTGGCGCATCTGGCACAATGGCAATAATATACAATATTACAAAAGCAAACTAGGAAAAAAGAAACAAATGGCCTTACATATGCAGAAATTCGCTTGAACGAAGAATCTCGCGACTCGCCATTGACGAGGACCTCACCCTCAATCCGACCACCTTTCAACACACGCCCTCCAAGAACATTCAGCAGACTGGTTTTCCCACAACCTGCAAAACAAGAACCACATCAAGAAGAAGGGCCAGAGGGAAGGAGGGAAAAGGATCACACTCAGAGCCTATCCATAATACGACCACTCCGATCCGCAGCAAGAGAGGAGAGCATATCGACCATTGGGACCTGAACATTTACACACGGTATCTTTTCTTGGTTCAGAAACGTCTGCATGCAACCATCCATTTGGGGAGGATAATAATCCCGTTCCGATTGAGGGCCTAGCTTGTCCTTCTTAGACATTCAGCCCATCCTGCTGAGTCCAGCCCGTGGAGCTTGGAACAGGTACTTAACAATACTTCCGATGCTGCAAAGAGAGCAATCCTTTTAGTGCTGAAGAGTACACTTCGGGGTCTGTGGGCCAGTCACATCCAGACAATGGACAAATCCAATAGAGGGAGAGTAAGGAGAAAGGAGAGGGGGAGGGGGAGAAGGAGGGGAAGGGGGAGCGGGAGATGGAGGGGAAGGGGGAAGGAATGAGGGAAGGGGAGGGAGGAGAGAATGGACGAGAGGGTGGAGGGTGGAGGAAGTGCGGAAAGGGGGAGGGGGAAGAAGGGGGGAAGAAAAGGAGCATGAGGAAGGGGAGGAGGAGGGGAAGGGGAAGATCATCACAATCCAGCTCATTTTTGGACCGTGGATCTCATTACACCACCAGTACATGGCCCCGCGCAACTGGACAACTTGTCTTGAGCCTCTCCGGAAATTTAGGAGGCCGAGCCCCGTAGATAAAATCATTCGGCGGTGGGCGACCTCCAAAAGGGGCCCGCGGTCGATAGCTGGCATGTACTGGTGCTTTACGTGTGATATGCGCCAGACTGTAAGCAATTTTGGGGAACTTCTCATTGCACCCAAATTACTGTTGTTAAACGACTAGTCCCCTTAGTGCACTGACAGAAAACATTTTGAGCCCACCAGCCGCAGCAAGGATCAAAAGTGTGCGAACGTTTACCGTCGGGAATGGCTTTTTGCCATCCATATTTTCTTTCGATTATTCTAATTTTCTCTCTGAAAGGATAACCACTCAATTTTTGCCCTTGATTGTTTTCGGAAATTTTCGCAAGAACTTCTGGGTGCAAAAAGTCCTAGAAGTCAGTGCACTCAAAATTTCACACACTGTTGTTGAACCTCCCACACAGCCGGTGGGCCGACTGATCCCGTGGCGCGTATACCACCGCGACCTTGGATTGCCCTGCCGAGCATGCAGTTTCTTCCTTTCCTTAACTTTACCTTTTAATTTGGCAACCAGACATAATAACTCCATTCAGTCTTTCTTCTTCTGCCGTCTTCACCCAAATAGAATAACTGGCCATTATAGTTGTGTTGCGACTGAAAGTTGCATCCCAAATACAGCTATAGTGACTGGGCATTCTATTCAGGTGAAGACAGTAGTCATACGATCTCCCATGCTGGCACGAACTTCCAAACAGCTGACCAGCACAATCAAGGCCACACACACTCGATCACGATCCTATCTAGCTGCTAGTGGAACCACTACAAAGATGAAGTCCCACTTTCCCTGATTCATTTCTAGCTGTTGAGCTTCATAATCTACAGTCAAAAATGAAGAAAATCTGAGTGAGTGATCCCACAAGCTTCCAACAGCCGAACAGCGTCATTGAGGGAACACATGGTGTACTCTTATCCTATCCAGCTGCTAGTTGAACCATCCCATGAGGCAACGGCTGAGAATCCACTCAGCCCGATCCTTCGGTTTCTCACTTTTTAGCATTAAAGGTAGTGATATCCCAAGTTCCGTACCAGGCGGTTTCACGTACCCTTCCGATTAAACCCGGAAGTAAGCCGCGAGACTGAATCTAAGTGGGTCGGATCTTGAAACTTCTGCATAAAAGCCTGCGCTTTTCGACAAATGTCATTGTATTTTGGTGATTTAGACTCGGGCGGCCGAGCAGCGACCGCTCCAGATTTCTAAGCGAAACAGTTATGTTTTCAGATACGTTCTTGGTTGTCGTTCTTATTTTTAAATATCCTAATATGCGCGCGCTGGCAGTTTGAATTTCGCATTTTATGCAAGCCAGCTTCTCGCTCATGCATGCGTGTCGACTCCTTTTCTAGCTCGTCTCCTCCGTCCTCGCACACCCCTTCCTCTTCCTCCTTCCTTCTCGGCAAAGAATGATTGGCCATGGTTCAAGTTGGTCAGATCAAGCCGTAAGAGTGAATTTTTTTGCGTGCGGCTTCAACGATCAACCCGACTGCTGCAAAAATTCCACATCATTCCACCTTCCTCACCTCTTTCATCCTTCTGGAAACTTCCGTGTCCACTCTCGCTGTTCTCTCTCCCGTCTTCCACGATGACGCCCCATCGCCTTCTCCGCTACAATTCACTCAGCCCTTTCCTCTCCTCCTCTTTGATCTCAGCTGCAATGTTGTGCGGGCAATGCACGACGACTACAGCAACGAGTAGGCTTTGGCATGCCCACGGACAGGCGGAGTGTAGTCGTCAACGAGTAGGCTTTGGCATGCCCACGGACAGGCGGAGTGTAGTCGTCAACGAGTAGGCTTTGGCATTCCCACGGACAGGCGGAGTGACGGCATAAGGGTACGTCTAGTGGCAGTATCGGTAGGTTGTAGTTGGAGGGACAGAGCAGAAGTGGAGGATTGGTGAAGTATGAGGATGTGACCAGGCACGGGGCCTTGTGGCTAAGCTGGCGCATCCCCCGTGAGTGGGTATGGTGTACCACGCACGTGAGGTGGCCGTAGTGTCGGCTTGCATGCTGAAGACTAAGTTCTATGCTAAGTTGTGTAATTGGGCTAGGTTGCAAGTGTCCGATGAGATGTGTGATTGCTCCGTCATGTCAGTCAAAGTCCATGAATGTAAGTGCTTGTGTGTATGCGTGTATGATGCTCTCACTACACTCTTTCGCCTTGCATGAGTAGATGATGGTGAAGAAGTGTCAATAGTGCTGATCATTTTTGTATGGATGGATGGAAAAGATTGTTGCGAAGAACTGGAAATTATTTCCTTTGCCTTGTCACAATCGTACTCTTGATTTCCTTCTCGACTTTGGTCTTTCAACAATTTTGGCTTGCATTTGAACAGAGTGAGTTGTGTTTTAACGTGGGAGTGTAAGGAATCTATGCTTGTGAACTTGAGCCTTAAAATGGGTAGCTGCCCGTGTTCGACGACCCTCATGTCGATCCGCCATAGCAATCTCCTAGAAAACAACGTGGTGCCTACTGCGACCCAGACGTACAGAGATCGCTATTGCGCACCGATGGAGCCCATTTTTATGATCCTTCTAAGGGTTGTCATTTTGATGGGGAAGGTTTTATTTTGGTGGATTGTTTCCATTACCCTGAGTTGATCCTCCCATACACTGATCTCACAGAACTTCCCTGGTCCACTACCCACACCACGTGGAACCCCCAATATAACTGTCGACGGTGTAAGTTGGGCAATTTGTGCTCTTGGCGTCAGTTGATATTGGGGTACCAATGTCCAATTTTTGGAGCTCAGTGGTTAGAGCACCGGTTGGAAATGCGCATTGTGGTATAAGGTTGCGGGTTCAAAACCCCACAGCCTTGCGCATGGACACCGGCAGGGCGTTAGATTAACGCACGGCTGGACACACATCCCCTTGGGCTGATGCATGTACTATTACAGACACTGTCTGTGCACCACCCAAGGGACGGTGTTGTATGTTGGTTGTGGGTTTCACAGGGTTTGCTTGGGGTGTTGGTCTCAAGTGTTCTGATGTTCTCCCCAGTCTGGCATATCACACGTTCATTCCATTTCCGGTAGTTGCTCATACGGTAGAGTCTTGGATTACATGTTACAAGGTTACGGGTTCAAGCTTGGTTCGGTCCTTGGGGGGGGTCCTTGTCCAGCTGGCTCCGTTCTCTCCTCGATACACACACATGATTCACAGAGTACACATAGCTTTCGGGCATACACACGTGCTCATACGGTAGAGTCTTGGATTACATATTACAAGGTTACCGGTTCAAGCTTGGTTCGGTCCTTGGGGGGGGTCCTTGTCCAGCTGCCCCCGTTCTCTCCTCGATACACACACATGATTCACAGAGTAGCTTTCGGGCATACACACGGCTTGCGAATTATATATCGCCTATAGGTTACATACACAAGTTTCCACACATGATACTGTCTACACAGATTCACAGAATATACACACAAAAAACAGGCTGGGGAGCTAGTCACGGGTTGGGTCTAGTGCCTGCAGTAGGTTCAGATAGGTTGGATAGGGTGCCATTGGGTGCAGTTCCTGCTGACATTCGGATAGAACTGTCTGGTGGCTATATATATATGGGGCATGTCGTTCATTGTCTGGGCCTGGCGTCCGAAGTTCCCGTTCGACAAGGTTCGTCCGATTCCACTTCCACCAGGGCTGGGCAATCTATCAGCCCTGGTGCCTATCACTGCTGTTCGGTCCAAGTTGCCTGCCCGTTGGTAGGGCAATGGTCGTGAGTGCTGGTCACACTGAGGTAGAATAGTGGGATAGGGGGTGCGCTAGGAGTATTGACGTGAGGATGGGTTGGGAGGTGGTCTCATATTCCAGGACACCCACAGCTCATAGTTCCAGGTGATCACTGTGCACACACTGACTGGCCTCTACAACACCCTGGACTTAAAAAAAAGATACAGATACAGAAGCTTTACATTTTTTGACTTCATTAGGTATACCTTTTGATTCTCGAGGTTCACAAAATTCTTTGATTCTTGTTTATTCTTTCAATTTTGTTTCTTAAAATTTGAGTTAAAGTTTCAAGAAAAAGACTTTCACTGTGTAAAATTTCTGCATATATATATACATATCGTCACAAACAGAACTGCCCGGTAAACCGTAGGCAGAGAGAGAGAGAAGAGGACAACAAACGAGGGGCTGTGACAAACTGTTTCGTCGGAGTTTCACCGACTCGTCATACATCCCTACATATATAACTGTCGCTAATTTTCGGCCTGTGACATTCAGACGATCGGGGCCCTCCGATTTTACACTCCGCGACGGTCCCGATCGTC